TGTGCGTGTGCGTGTGCGTGTGCGTGTGCGTGTGCGTGTGCGTGTGCGTGTGCGTGTGCGTGTGCGTGTGCGTGTGCGTGTGCGTGTGCGTGTGCGGCTTTGACTTCCGTAACCTCAAATCTCAGAAGAGTGAAGTGACCCAGCATGAAAGATGGTTTGCTCTGCAACGTCAAACCAGTCCTCCATTCATCAGAATGCTTTAATAGGTTATGGGATAACCTTTTTCTGACAGATGCTGTTAATGAAAACTGATGTTACAAGCCGGAGTGTATTTAAATGCTGTATTTGGTTCTCGGGAAGAACAAGGATGGGAAAGAATTGCATAACTGAAATGGCCATTAGTCTTTATTACATGTTAATGGTCTTTTTAGTGCACCAGTTCTTTCCTTGAGAAAAATAGCTCTCCCATGGTTAGGGCTTCTGTAATGACAGCAAAAGCAAAACCATGTTCAATAACACTAAAATAAAGTGGTGAGCAGCTTTATCCAATCTGTAACATGATAGTCGCTTTGGTGATTTGATTATCTTGTACCACAGAACTAAAAGAAAGCTGCACTTTACAAGATGAATTCCATCATATCCTCAAACGAGGGTGATCTGTTTTCCAAATGGTTTGCCCAAGCGAACCCTCAGATGTGGTATTGTATTAACACTCAGATTGCTAACAGCAGAGCAAAATGTTGAGTTTGAACAGGTTTGCCTGCTGCTTGTGCAATTTAAGGCTGTCAGAATTTGGCTCTGAACGTCAATAATGATAAAGAAGACTTACAGATAAACTTAGGCTGCAGTACAGAGTTTGACTTTGCTGAGCCCTTCACGCAAGTTGACTTAGATAAACATGTTAGTAATAATTCCCAGAGCACATTCCTGGAATATTCTTGAACTAACTGAAAATTATTTGAAATGCTGTCCAAAAGTGGCCCATAAACTACACAGCAGGAATTTCAGTTTTGCTTTTCTTAAATTCCCTTAGGCACGTACTTAAGTGGTGCCAATTAATATGCCCTCTTTTTCTGTGCTGGAAGCATCACAAGCACCACTGTCTGCATGCAGACCCCTTGAAGACCTAGAGTTTAGTGTAGTAATCAAAAGCTACAAATCGGTAAGATTTCAGCCATTTCATGTTTTTCATTCCAGGGTTATTGATACTGTGTGGTCCAACAGAACTGGATTTGTACTGATCTGACTTTCACACACAACAGCATTCAGAGATTTTTCAGATATTTCACAAAACTATTAGTCACACTAGTTTAGTACGGGCGAGTGCCGCTTGTCTTGTATGGTTTTGGGTAGTCAGTGGAGGTTCGCTAAGGTGTTGAAGACGCCGAAGACCCTGCGTTTCGGGTTTTCTTTTGTAGTCAGGTTAGATTTCCCTCGCCTTCCTAGCCAGCTCCATTTTATTTATTTTTTTTCTTTGGCACCACTCTAGTTCCCTACCCCTGTGTGTTATTGTGTCTTATTACATACCAGACACTTATTCACCTTAATATCATCACGTTTGCAGCGACCCTTGTTATCACACTTCCTAGTCCTTCACCAGAACCCACGTGCATCCAGAAGTTATCCTAAATCTGGCCTAGGGGGGTATGATCCTCGCTTTGGGGTGCAAGAGGTCCTGGGTTCAAATCCCAGACGAGCCCCCAATAATGTTATGGCCCCAAGTGTCTAGGGGTAAAGGGGTGTAACATTTAGGATAATTTTTGGAAGCAGGTGGGTTCTGGTGAGGGACTAGGAAGTGTGATAACAAGGGTGGGTTGAATAAGTGACTGGTAAGACACGATAACACCCAGGAGTAGGGAACTAGAGTGGTGCCAAAGAAAATAAAACAACAAATAAAATGGACCTGTCTAGGAAAGTAAGGGAAAGCTAATCTGACTACGAAAGAAAACCCGAAACACACAGTCTTCGGCGTCTTCAACACCTTAGCTAACCTCCACTGACTACCTAAAACCATACAAGACCAATGCCACTCACCCGTACTAAACTAGTGTGACTAATACAAAGTCAACTAAGTGTGTAGGATGTACCCAATAACCTAAACTAACCTTATACACAGAAGTTCACACAAAAATAAGTGAACTAGGAATACAAATAAGGGAAAACTAGAGTAATCAACAGGAACAGGGTACAAAAGAACACAAAAATTGAACATGTAACACGTTAGTACTACATGTACTAAAAGAACACAAAAATTGAACATGTAACACGTTAGGGCAAGGTTATGGCAAAAAAAAAGGATAAACACACAAACAAAAGTATAAAGAAACTAACAGAAACCAACAAAACAACAAAGCCGAAGCTATACGAAAACACACACGCAAAGCAAAACAACAAACCAAAGCTAAAGCAAAAGCAAAGTCAAACAAAAGGCCTCTTCCTTCTGAGGGCTTCTATGATATATAGTAAATAAGATAAGTTCTGATTGGCTGAGAAGCTGATTGAAGATGATGTCATACTGAAAAGTGGTGTAATGGTGGGCCAATGGGGGAGGGAGAACAATCAAAGGTCAGCAGTGTGGAACATAACAACAAACACACATAGACCACACACTGGGACGTAACAGTTACACCCCTTTACCCCTAGACACTTGGGGTTTTAACAATAGTATAGATGGATAGCATATGTCCCTTCAATTGACAGCTATAGGACTGGAAGACGTGCAATGTAAAAAAATATCAGGAACTAGCTTAAGTATTAAGAACCTACTTTTAGCCTGACCCCTGTCTCATGGTTTTTGTGTTCCAATTAAACTCTAAATAGAGAAAAAAAAAATAATTAGTTCAATCAAGCCCTCTGACAATGATCCTGCCAAAGACAATCAAAAAGGTCTGATTAAAGCCATTCATGAAGTGTTAGTCTGGAATTCAAGACCTCTGCTGGAATGAAAACCAGAAGGCAAGTCGAAACTAAATCAGTCTTGTAGAGTTAGTCGTTTCCAGATATTTTATGTCTACTGTACATTAAGAATGATAAAAATATTTAAAGTAGAGGTATAGTTTTTTTAATAGACATATATACAAGTGTGGTCAATGTTACGGATGACAATGTTAAATGTTGTGATTTAAATGTGATTTATGATCTCCAGCTATTCTGTTGTATAGAATATGATTTGCTTACTAACCACTAATACTGCATATAAAGTGTTTGGCAATGCAGTTGCTCCTTTGTGCTGGGCACTGTTGAGTGTCACTGTTCTATTTGTGGGATTCTCCCATTGTGCTGCTACGGGGGTTGGTGTTTAAAAAGAGTTTTGCATAATAACTGACATTTTGGTGTGTAAGTAAAGTAGGGAAATGACACTTCATGTTGTATGTAAAGTCTTGGACAAAAATGCACTCCATTGCATAATTTGTGTGATACAAATGGATGGAAACTCTCTGTTCTTGCATTAATATTGATTGCCATGCCTTTTCCGATATGGAATTTCCCACAAATGTGCTTTATTGGATTATTTAAAATCCAATAAAACATTGTGTTAGAGACGATCTCCTGAGGTCCACATGTTTCAGGAAACTTCAGCACATACAGGAACAGATTTAAGTGAAACTTTGACCACTCCGTCAGTAAATTCTGGACCCTGTTCTATGTGTTGCGTTGCTGTTGGGCAGAAGGATGGTCTCTCTTACGGAGAGAAAAAAAATGTAACTGAATACCAGTGTTAGTAACCTAAAAATCAGCAGCTGAGGAAAAGTTGTCATTTAATCTTGGCCATCATGGCCAGAGACAGAAAACCATACCAAATGTATTCATGAACTGAGACGAGATTTTCAAATGTACTAATGCTCACAAATGCAGTTCTACAGAAGTATGTCTGGGATAATCTTCCTTCACAGCACAGAAGAAATAACGGGAATGCATGAAGGGGGTCATAGAATGAAATTCTTCAATCACCAAGTAAATTGTGAAGGAAGTCTAGCTTTCTTTATTGAGACTAGTGTGCTACCTTTTTTTTTTGTCGCTGTGTTCAAGGTGAATGTGAAGGTGCACCTGTCGCACTCCCACAGGCCCGAGGTAAAGAATTGCTGTATCTGTACACAAGCCTATGTGGTTCTTTTCAATAATTAGCTAATGTGCTCGGTTACTAAAACACATCTGCTCGTCAGTGACGCAACGCAGCACCTCTGTTTATCTCCAGACTCGTGGCTGTATTATACTGATGTATTATGACTGTCGATGACCTTGTGTACTGAGGTTTAATACAGCGCGCTTACTTTTGTCAGGACCATAACACCTGTCTTTGGATTTAGATGCAGAGATCTTCCTAATTCAGATGCAGAGATCTAGTCCTTTGCACTTTTTCCATTGCTCTGTGGAAGCGTTTTTTGTATTGCTATAAAAAATAGAGGCTCTGGTGAGTGAGTCGGCAGTCGGCTAACTAGACTAGAAGGATATATTGTAAGAAAATATTTACTATAGTAGATTGGCAAGCTTTGAAGAAATTAATGTCGTTATATTGTACCAATGTTCCAGTGTGACACATAGTCAAAAAGTGTTTTGCAGATTCCGGTATTTTTTTGTCTTGCCAACGAAATATGGACAGTGTCATGTTTTGCTGTTTGATCTGAAATGTGTACATGAAAACAGTTCCAAACTTTTGTAAAAATTAAGGTAAAGACTTTGTGTTGGGGAAGGGGGTGTTGACCTGTGGCTTTAATTATTTGTAGTCCTGAAACTACATGTCTAAACATCATTCTACTGTCTTACATGTGAGAATTAAAGATGTACATTTCAAGCACTGTAACCATTGCTGTTCCAAGTTGTTTTTTTAAAACATTTCTTCAGAGTGCAAAAGTAATTTTAACTATCAATAAAAATGTTGTTTTTTATTGTTAGTTAAAACTTTAGAAAAGCTGCTCAAACAAAATTGAAAAAGATTAGTTTTGAAT